TTTCCCAACTGCTTGCTGGGCATCTTTTCTTGGCTGCCTACTAACTGTCAAGTTCAGCATGTCCAGAATGGAGTTCTCATCCTTCCTAAATATACCTTCTCCTCCTGCCTTGGCTCTCTCTCCAGTCATCTGATCCAGAAACCTGAGTACTACTCTTTATATTGGTTTATATTGGTTTCTGTGTTAGGAATAAGGGTAAGGTTTGGTGCTATAAGCTCTGACAAATATAGGGACCTAGGAATGCTCAGTCCCTGCCTTACTGATCACTCCTTTCTAGCTAGAAGATTTCAGTGATTTTGCCACCAGCCAGAGAAGTTACCAGTATTAGAGCATTTCACACCAGGTCCTTCTTGGTCTGGTTTGGGTTGACTTTCCCTCTTCAATTGCTGCCAGTTGTCTCTTGCACTCTGTGCTGCAGCTATGTCAACCCACCTGAAATTTCCAAATGTCCACATTATTTTAGGGGTCAGTATCAGTACTACCTCTGTCAGGAATACCTTTTCTTATCCTGACTGTCCAGGGAACTCTTGAGGTTTTAAAAAACAGCCCATTCAGCATTTGTCTTTCTATACCTAGTTTGCAGGTCTGTTTACCCTAGTAGACTTTGAACCTTCAGGATGGAGCACACCCTATTTTTATGTCTTCATAACCCAGCATGTAGTAGGTCTTCTACATATGTATTAGAATGTCTTATCCAGCAAGCATTTCCTTTTTCTTTTTTTGTGCTAAGATTGAATTTAGTTGGTAATTACTGAAACAAATATTCTAGAGGAAAGAAGACATTATAAACTCAGAACAAATATTCTGTCTGTGTCTTCTCTGTTTTGGTATTTTCTACTTTGCTTAGGAATTCTTTGCTTAGGACACAAAATACATGTTTAATGCATGGAAGAATGAATGGTAAGGAATAAAAGAATCAAAAAAGTAAGGAAGGGGAGATAGGGTAAAATTTTGAACGTAGATGAAACACCAGATTGGGTGCTGGTGGCTCATGACTGTAATCCTAGCTTCTCAGGAGGCAGAGGTCAGGAGGATTGAGGTTCGAAGCCATCCCTGGATAAATAGTTCATATATTCGAAAACACCCAATACAAAAAAAGCTGGCAGAGTGGCTGAATTGAGAGAGCACTTGCCTAGCAAGTATGAGGCCTTGAGTTCAAACCCTAGTACTTCCAAAACCAAAAAATAAGTAAAAGAGAAACACCAAGAGTTCCCTAAGAGGAAACAGTCAGGCATTCAGTAATTTAATAGAGGTTTGGATATCAAGTTGGATAACTGTAGCTATCTCCGCCTCTCTGGTCCTTCCTTTGGCCCTTCATAACCTGAGAAGGAGGTGGGACTATATCAGGGGTCTGTCTGGTGTCCTGGCCAGATGAGCTAAAAGGGTACCAATTTCCAGACCCAACCCTAGAGATGGTCAAGTAAGTGCTCTGGGTGGAGCCTGGGAATCAGTATTTTTATTCTGCTTGCTCATTGCTGCAGGGCATGCGCTGTACCACTGGGCCGTGCCCACAGCGGTCAGCCTTTGAAAGCTGGCTCTCCTATTAATTCTAGGGAGCACTGAGGTGGAGAACCAGGGAATTAGATCAGCTCAGAGGTTCATCTAATAATGAATTCACATTTTATGTCTCTGATTTTTTTTTTTTAAGTTCAAGGAAGTATTTATATAGAGAGCATTTTAGATAAAAGTGATGTTCTCAGTCCTGGTTCCTAACCTTTCCAAGAACTGTCTGTCTCTATTGCCTCTTAAATTCTTCCTTGTAAATCTTTCATTCTTGCTGCCTTCTTTTTATCTTCCAAACATGCTTAAATTTCTTTGGTCATTTGCTGAAGCAATAAAAACCCTGTCCTTGATGCTGTTCTCCTCCCTTTTATTTTTATTTTCATTTTTTTTGAGACAGGGTCTTGCTGTGTAGCCCAGGCTGGCCTTGAACTCACAAACTCCTGCTCAGCCTCCCAAGTGGTAGGATTACAGTCATGAAACACCATACCTGGCTCACATTTTTTAGCATGGAAAATATGTTTTATTGTTCTTTAAAAGAGTTCAAGGTTTTGTTTCACTTATTTAATAAATAAATAATTATTTTGGCAGTACTGGAGTTTGAACTCAGGGCCTCATGCTTACTAGGCAGGTGATCTACCAATTGAGCCGCTCCAAAAGCCCTGGTGTTTTCTTTTTCTTTGTGTGTGTGTGTTGAATATTTTCAAGATAAGCTTCTCTGGAACTCTTTGCCCTAGCTAGCCTTGAACCACAATCTTTCTGCTCTCTACCTCCAGAGTAACTAGGATTAGGTGTGAGCCACCAGCACTGGCTCAAGGTCTGGTTTTAAATCAGGGTGACATTGCTTACCATGTGAAACTGCTTCAGCTACCAATACTTATCAAATCCAAAAAGAAAGAAATTGTTTTAAGTCTGAGGAAAACATCCAGTTCTGGGAACAATTAATATTAATCTGCAAATTAAAACAAATTCAGGCATAAATTTTCATGTTGCCGTGTGCCCTTCTCACACAGAACTAGGAATGTGGCTATCTCATGGTTTTGAGCTTTTGTACAGCCAACTTTCAAGTTCTAATGTGCAGGAAGCATTGAAAATCACTGTTTCTGGAAGGGCAGTCAAAGAAATCAAGTCTTCAGAGAATGAAAAAATGAAAAATTGTTAAATGTGAAAAAAATGTTAAATGTTTACTGAATAGGAGAATTTGAAACTAGAGTTTAAAAAAATGCTATACTCAGACCCAGACAGACAGACAGACAGACACACTTAAGTAGTACATGACAAAGCGAAGTAAGTAAGCAGTATGAACGCTCAGTGGATGGTAGTGAAATGTACATCTTCGTGGGAATGTGTGTGTCGGGGGGTCAGAAATGTAAAAGAGAATAAAAATGTAGTCTCTCAAAATCTGGTCATTTAGTTTTTGTGCCCATGAAGTCACCAATAAAAGGAAACTCTTACCTGTATTCTGTGAGTTTTTAGAAAAGTATGATGCTTCTAAATCCTGTGAAAGTAGTCACTGGAGATGTAGGCCAAACTCTGAAGTTGAGAAATTAAGAGACAATATTACCAACACTTGACAAGTCTAGAAACTCACCCTGCACAATGCATACTTTCAACTAAGCGGGGCATGCTAACTGGAGCATGGCTTAGCATGCAGAGCAAATCCATGTTTTGAGAGTCAGAAAGATGAGGAGCTGGTGAGGAATCGCATCTGTATCACCGGCTGCCATGTTATTTTAGTGCCATCAGAGAGTTATTGTTTCTGGTTAGCTACACTAAAGTAGGGAAAACTGGGTTCTGACAACATTTTTATGTCAGGCACCTATGGATAGGTGCTGGGGATCTGGTTGAGGGTCTTGGTCAATCTCCAGTCCCCAGACATCATTTTTGACTTACTTAACTCATTTAACTTATGTATTAACTTTAACCCTTGGAAGCCTCACAGCTCAGGGGGGCTATTATCCCTATTTTACAGATGAGGAAACTGAGGCATGTGGGTGGTAGATAACTGGCTCTAGGTCATATTGGTGGTGACTGGTGGATCTAGGAGTCCAACTTAGGCAGTTTGCTACTCTGTCTTAGGGGCTGCTTGTCATGTGACCCCCTAAAGTCCTTCCCACAAGAGAAGAGCATGATATTGTCAAATAAATGACACTGAATTCAGGGGTGTGAGGAAAATGTGTAACTCAAACTGATTGGTCACTAAAAATGACCCTTAGTGCATCAGTGGTATTTCTATGTGACAGAATTAATAACTTGTTTTTTGAAAAAAAGTAGAAATCATTTGTGAGGGAGGAGAAAGCATCTTACAGGGGAGTCACACATTTGCTGAGGACCGTGGGAGCTGAAACGGAACTGGGACATGGTTAAAGGCCCTGGACTTTGTTCTTCTCCAAAGCACTGGTCTTCAGGAAGTTAGTAAATACATCAGTGTGGCCCCCTAAACAGTGGCTGTCATTGCTGTTCCTGACATCATCTGTTGAGGAAGACTTAATCAGTGTTTTTAAGAAGTTCCTGATAACTGGGTATTTTTTGGTAGAACTTGTGCTTGAACTCAGGCTTTGCTCTTGCAAAGCAGGTGTTCTACTGCTTGAACCATGCCTCCAGTTCACTAATTGGGTGTTAGTGGTAGTCATTTGGTTATGATTCTCACTACTTTTTCTTTATAGATTATGTTATCATAAAGCCTTCCCATGCATGTGACAAACTTCACATTTTTTGTGATGCTAGATTCTCCAAAGCAGTGAATCCTAGTTAATTTGAATAAATAGAATTTGGTGAAATAAAAGATTTTAAAAAATGAAATTACTATACTTACCTGGTAGGGTAGATACCATGATCATGAAGGTGGTTTTCCCAGGGCGAGGCTTATCTATTGCACTCTGGATGTGCTGACCCCTGTGATTTCCCTAAGTGTGAGAAATGTGGCTGCATAATTTGTGGTGGTGGGGGGACTATGTTTGTGCTTTCCCCTGAAAAAAAGAAACAAACAAAAAAAAGGAACTACTGAGCCTTTTCTTTATTAAGCTTATCATTGGCTTAATTTTCACTTGAAAGCTTCTCTTCCGAAAGGATGACCACTTACAGAATTTCTTTTGAAGAAACCCACGAACAGGTGCAGGTTAAATAGTCAATCAATTCATAGGAAAACATTTCACTTCCTAAAATAGTCTGTGGCTTGTCAGAAATGGCAAAATGCACACTCATGGCTGGGTAGTGTATTTCTGTTACAATGGGAATGGGAGTTTAACCACTTTTCTCTTGCTTTCTGGTGCCTTCTTTGAATAGCTGGTCTATGATGATACCTTAACTTGGCTTTCATATTAGAAAACAAACTTAGTGACTGCTAAGATGGTGCAGAATTTTCTGGTAGTGCAAATTAGGACAGGTCAAATTTGAAATCTGCAGTGGACCCTGGCTTTTACTCTCTGATCTCCAAATGAATGGGCATCGCAACATTTTTAAAGTAGTAACATGTAGTAACCCAGCTTTCTTTCAACCAGGCAGTGACAACCTTTTGGACATTTTGAAAAGAAAATGGTGGAAGTACGTCCTGCTGGGACTAGCAGATGTGGAAGCTAATTACCTGATTGTCAGAGCATACCAGTACACGACGCTCACCAGTGTCCAGGTAAGAGGAACCCTCTGAACATTCTGGATTTTTCAGCGTCAAGGGGAGAACGCTCTTGAATAACTCACATATGTTAACCTCATTTTATTGAAAATCTGTTCACTGGAAGAAAACCTAAAAACACAGGTGGATGATATCTGTTTCCAGTAGAGCACATGTTCTAATGAGTCACGTTTCCTGAAATTAGGGAAAATGTATACAAGCTAATCACTTCCCACTGCTAATGCTACAGCAGATGAAAACAGCTCCTACCAAAATAAGCATAAATATTTAGTTGGCACTTGGTGTTGTGCTGTTGACAAGAGTTCTGTTTGATGCACTGATCAAGCATGAGAGTGATGTACCTGTCTACTACATACTAGATGGGGGTTTTCAGGCAAAGTAGGTATCCACAGCACAGAACCCACCGGAGGAACCTGTGCACATCCTAGCAGAGGTGGTAGCAAAAGTGAAACTCCCATCCTTATTTTCTTGTCATGTTCATCCTCGCTGGGTTGTAAGAAAAATGTTCCTACGTAGCCTACTTTTCAACTTTGTGGAGTTGTGGAAGACTGAATTCAAGTCCAGTTGTCTTAACGTTAGCAAACCTTGGGATACATCATAACACTGACTCAGGCTGGTGGAGGGGCTCAAGTGGTAGAGTGCTGCCGGGAAGCTCAAGGCCCTGAGTTCAAACCCCAGTACCAACAAATCAGAGGAAGAGGGAGACGGAGAGAAATTCAACTACATTTTAGAAACATAAAGATCTAAGTGCTGGCTCTGTGAAGGAAGAAGTAACGCTGATTCACTGTTACTAACAACAGAATGTTTTCTAAACAGAGGTGAAAGTGAGCTAGACTCTCATGCCAGGTTTAGAATTCACAGTTTAATGAATTTGTAACTTGTTGATGAAGCACATTTCTCACTGTACATAGCCCAAAGATGTTCTTTTTAAATCTCCAAAGTTTAGGAATGGTGAAAAAATTAAAGTGAAGTTAGATGTAGTTCACTTGGAAAAAGTAAGGCTTGGTGAAAACTCAGTGTTTTTTCCAGTGTGAACATACATTCGATGCTATCACCCAAATGCATTTTATTAAACTCTTTCTTTTTTATTACATTGTGCTAAGCATTGTCACAGGCAAACTTGTTGACTTTTTAGTGATATGGTTTAAAAACCTGAGACAGGAAATGATTTGTTATGACACTGTAAGAGGCACACCAAGAACCTGGAATTTTGTAAAACATAGGGCTGGTGGAGTGGCTCAACTGTAAGAGTGCCTGCCTAGTAAGAGTGAGGCTCTGAGTTCAAACCTTCCAGTGCCACTAAAAGAAAAAAAAAGTTCCATCAGAATTTTGTAACAATTAAAATTAGGTGTTACCTTGAGAATGAAGTTAATCACACATAGAAGTAAGTATATTAGCATTGGTAAGGGGCCGGGGGATAAAGTGTAAAATGGCATTTCCTAGTCACATGTCCTCATAGTCACATGTCCTCACAGATCTTCCAGTCACATCTATCCACATATTTTAATGACTTAATTACACTTTTTAGAAGCTGATATCTGACTAATAATGATGAAAAGTTTTGAATTGGTATAAGGTCTAAGTAACAGCTAAATGAAACGCTTACTGTTAGATGTTTTTGTGACTAAATTTCATGACTTATACTATCAAAACAATTTTGTTCAATCTAGCCTTCTTTTAGGTGCACATTATTCTTTATTTGCATTTCTTAGAATATTACACAAAGGGAGTAAAAATCGTACTCACACTTTGCTTAGAAAGATTGGGCGGTGAAAGTTCCCATGATACATGGGGTAGGGGTGGAGGGCCAGGAGGCAGAAAACAGGGCTGATGACCTCCCTCAACCCTCAGGCTAATGGCAGAGGGCTTAGGCTACACCTTTTCAAAAGAACATGTCCCCAGTGGGACCGGAGAAGGGCAAAGGAGGCTCCTCTCCAGTCTCTTCTCAGGCTCCTGGTGTCACCTCTCTTTCTAGAGCTGAGGGCACAGCCCCTGCAGTCACTCGCTCCTTCCTCTGACTCACTTGGGCAGGAGTCCTGCAAGACTCTGCAGCCACCAGCCCCATGTAGAGGTAGCCTCACAGCCCCTGGTGTATGGCATATGAAAGGCCCAGAGCCAGTCTGCACAAGGTTACAAGGTAAGGGGCTGCATCAGGCCCTACCTTCTGTCATATCTGTCCCAACTTCCCCAAACCCGTACCCCTCACACCGCTGCAGAGGGCAGACCTGCGCTTACAATGACTCATGGCCTCTTCCACTCATGTCAACCCTGTTACATAACCCAGGCGCTTCATATCTATAGCAGCCTCCCTTCTCTACCACCATCACCATTCTGTGGGTGAATTCACCTCCAAGCCGGCTCCCCTCCCTGCCCACATCCCAAAGGAGGTTAAGTTCTAGCTTCTGTTCCCCTCCAACCATCTCTTTTTACAACAATTCTCACTGGGAGCTGCTATGCAACTTCTAAGACTCAACTCGCTATGTCCAGCCTCCACTAGGACAGGAACAAGAGTTCCTGCCTCCTCACTTCTGGAATCAGGCCATACCCACTAGCCCCACTTTCCCTCTCCTTACCCTCTTCACTCCATACCCAAGGAGCCACCAAAAGCCTGAACCTTGAATCAGAAAGCTGTCTATCCAGAAGGGGAAGGTGTCATCACACACTAGCTTTCTTACATACAAAGCTCATTGAATTTCACCTTATAGACTGAAAAGTTGTATCATCCTTCTGGTCCCTCCACAAAGGTAAAAAAGTGAGCAGGGGTTTCTCCCTGGCCTCCTGTCCCAACCTCAAAAATCCATGTTAAGCCTTGAATCCCAGCCCTTTCCACGGCCACTCCATGGAGTCCCTATTCAAAAGGCAAAAGGAAGCTACTCCAAATTCTCTACTGGGGAAGCGGGGTGGGGGGGAAGGTGCAGAAGCCAGGCCCGGCGGGCAACACTGTCTCTGGCAGTGTCTAGAGGCTCCTGTCTTCAGCATCATAGCCAAGGCCTTCCTTCCACCCCTCCCTGGGCCAGGGCAGTTGGTGTACCTTCAGTACTTACTGATTCCAAAAAATTCAGACTCGGTGGAGTTGGGGCAGCAAGCTCATCAAGGACACAGTATTGAGGGTGCACTGGACCTGGTCACACTTGGTGTACAGGTGGTGAGGAGGTACAGCACAATGGGTGTGATGATCAAGAACTTCCGAGAGGCTGTGAACTGGACGCCAGAGTCTGGGTTCACCTCGCTGTGTGCTGTGCCCACATTGATCCTGTCACCCCTCTCTGCTACTTCTTACATGGGTTCGAAGGTGGAGGACCCGGGAAGAGCACCTAGGAGGGAGGGCTACGGCTGCTCCAGCCATTGTAACAACCAGCAGCAGCCAAAACCTAAGAATTTTGTTTCAAGTTATGTAGTAGCTGGGGCATGGTGGTGTATGCATGTAATCCCAGCTAGTCAGGAGGCAGAGGAAGCAGGATTGAGAGTTTGAGGCCAGCCTGGGCAAAGGCAGTGAGACCCTATATCAAAACAAAATGAAAAAAAGAGGGCTGGGGGTGTAACTCAGTGGAGCACACTTGTCTAGCATGTTCAGTGTCCTGGTTTCAATCCCTAGTTATGTACTATGGTCCTAGCAAGGAATAGTATTGGGGAGGGGGGGAGGAGAAAAGCATCTAATACCTGATATTCCCTAGCAGGAGAGATGTTTGTTGCTGGAGTTATTCAACTTGATATTTTTTGGCAGTACTGGGATTTGAACTTGGGGCTTTGAGCTTGCCTGGCAGATGCTCTTCCACTTGAGCCATGCCTCCAGCCCTTTCTGCTCTGGTTATTTTGGAGATGGGGTTCTCGCTTTTTGCCCAGTCTGGCCTGGGCCCTGGTCCTCCTATTTTATGCTTCCTGCCATAGCTGGGCTGACAGGTGCACGACACCATGCCCAGCTTTTTTCCATTGAGATGGGGTCTCAGTGGCCTGGAACTGTGAGCCCCCTGATCCTCAGCCGCCTGCATAGCTTGGGATGTCAACTTAATTCTGTGCTTGAGTAAATCTGTGGCATTGGTACTCTGAAAGGTGGAAGTTTGGATTAGATGGTCTTTGCACCTCTTTCTTATGGATTCCTTAAAAGAGTAATTACAGGTAGTCACGTGGCAGTTTTCGTGAAGCTGGTACGTGGCCACTGGCTTCCATCCTCCATCTGTCTCTTCCCACTGTACAGTCCCACCTGCCCAGTCCTCGACACTGCCTGCTCCTTTTCTCTTAGGCTGCTGTTTCTGAAGAATCCTATCCATTTCAACCCCTGTCCCCATTCTCTAAGGCCTTAGTTCACTTTCTCTTCTCCATGCTATTGTACTTCTAAAATGGCCTAACTAATTTTTATATCCATGTCTCCCTGCTCTCAACCCCATGGTCTTACTAGTGTCCCATTTACTATGATCGTACAGTAATTTTTAATAATTAAGTTAAATGAGACAGTTGGAAGTGGAAGTCTCAAAAAATAAGACATCCATCACCAAGAGTACATGTTGAAGAGGAGGTCTATGTGGGAAAATGATGAAGATGAGAGGTAGACAGATGAGAAGTCATGGAATTTTATAGGAGGAGGGGGCCTGAGGTCATGTGATCTGTATTCTATATTTTGACCCAGAGAGTGACTGTCACATTTTATGAAGCCAGTATTACACTTATCCCAAAACCAGGCAAAGACACCTCCAAAAAGGAGAACTATAGGCCAATCTCCTTAATGAACATTGATGCAAAAATCCTCAACAAAATAATGGCAAAACCGAATTCAACACATCAAAAAGATTATTCACCACGACCAAGTAGGCTTCATCCAGGGATGCAGGGGTGGTTCAACATATCGAAAATCAATAAACGTAATAAACCACATTACAGAAGCAAAGACAAAAACACACTTGATCATCTCAATAGATGCAGAAAAAGCCTTGATAAGATCCAACACATTTCATGATAAAAGCTCTAAGAAAACTAGGAATAGAAGGAAAGTTCCTCAACATTATAAAAGCTATATATGACAAACCTACAGCCAGCATTATACTTAACGGAGAAAAACTGAAACCATTCCTCTAAAATCAGGAACCAGACAAGGATGCCACTATCTCCACTCCTATTCACATAGTACTGGAATTCCTAGCCAGAGCAATTAGGCAAGAAGAAGGAATAAAAGGAATACAAATAGGTAAAGAAACTGTCAAAATATCCCTATTTGCAGACGAATATGATCCTATACCTTAAAGACCCAAAAAACTCTACTCAGAAGCTTCTAGACATCATCAATAGCTAAGCAAGGTAGCAGGATATAAAATCAACATAGAAAAATCATTAGCATTTCTATACACTAACAATGAGCAAACTGAAAAAGAATGTATGAAAACAATTCCATTTACAATAGCCTCAAAAAAAAAATCAAATACCTAGGTGTAACCTAACAAAAGATGTGAAAGACCTTCAAGGAAAACTATACACTTCTGAAGAAAGAGATTGAGGAAGACTATAGAAAGTGGAGAGATCTCCCATGCTCATGGATTGGTAGAATCAACATAGTAAAAATGTCGATACTCCCAAAGTAATCTACATGTTTAATGCAATTCCCATCAAAATTCCAATGACATTCATTAAAGAGATTGAAAAATCTACTGTAAATTTATATGGAAACACAAGAGGCCACGAATAGCCAAGGCAATACTCAGTCAAAAGAACAATGCAGGAGGTATCACAATACCTGACTTCAAACTATATTACAAAGCAATAACAATAAAAACAGCATGGTACTGGCACAAAAACAGACATGAAGACCAGTGGAACAGAATAGAGGACCAGATATGAAGCCACAAACTATAACCAACTTGTCTTTGACAAAGGAGCTAAAAATATACGATGGAGAAAAGCAGCCTCTTCAAAAAATGCTGGGAAAACTGGTTAGCAGTCTGCAAAAAACTGAAACTAGATCCATGTATATCACCCTATACCAAGATTAACTCAAAATGGATCAAGGATCTTAATATCAGACCAAACTCTAAAGTTGATACAGGAAAGAGTAGGAAATACTCTGGAGTTAGTAGGTATAGGTAAGAACTTTCTCAACGAAACCCCAGCAGCACAGCAACTAAGAGATAGCATAGATAAATGGGACCTCATAAAACTAAAAAGCTTCTGTTCATCAAAAGAAATGGTCTCTAAACTGAAGAGAACACCCACAGAGTGGGAGAAAATATTTGCCAACTATACATCAGACAAAGGACTGATAACAGAATATATAGGGAACTTAAAAAACTAAATTCTCCCAAAACTAATGAACCAATAAAGAAATGGGCAAGTGAACTAAACAGAACTTTCTCAAAAGAAGAAATTCAAATGGCCAAAAACACATGAAAAAATGCTCACCATCTCTAGCAATAAAGGAAATGCAAATTAAAACCACACTAAGATTCCACCTCACCCCTGTTAGAATAGCCATCATCAGCAACACCAACAACAGGTGTTGGCGAGGATGCGGGGAAAAAGGAACCCTCTTACACTGTTGGTGGGAATGTAACTAGTACAACCACTCTGGAAAAAAATTTGGAGGCTACTTAAAAAGCTACATTGATCTACCATTTGATCCAGCAATACCACTCTTGGGGATATACCCAAAAGACTGTGACACAGGTTACTCCAGAGGCACCTGCACACCCATGTTTATTGCGGCACTATTCACAATAGCCAAGTTATGGAAACAGCCAAGATGCCCCACACTGACGAATGGATTAAGAAAATGTGGTATCTATACACAATGGAATTTTATGCAGCCATGAAGAAGAACGAAATGTTATCATTCGCTGGTAAATGGATGGAATTGGAGAACATCATTCTGAGTGAGGTTAGCCTGGCCCAAAAGACCAAAAATCGTATGTTCTCCCTCATATGTGGACATTAGATCAAGGGCACACAACAAGGGATTGGACTTTGAGCACATGATAAAAGCGAGAGCACACAAGGGAGGGGTGAGGATAGGTAAGACACCTAAAAAATAGCTAGCATTTGTTGCCCTTAACGCAGAGAAACTAAAGCAGATACCTTAAAGCAACTGAGGCCAATAGGAAAAGGGGACAGGAACTAGAGAAAAGGTTAGATCAAAAAGAATTAACCTAGAAGGTAACACCCCACAGGAAATCAATGTGAGTCAATGCCCTGTATAGCTATCCTTATCTCAACCAGCAAAACCCTTGTTCCTTCCTATTATTGCTTATACTCTCTCTACAAAATTAGAATAAGGGCAAAATAGTTTCTGCTGGGTATTGAGGGGGGGGAGAGGGAGGGGGGAGTGGGTGGTAAGGGAGGGGGTGGGGGCAAGGGGGAGAAATGAACCAAGCCTTGCATGCACATATGAATAATAAAATAAAAAAAAAAACACAGGGTGAGCAATAAAACAGCCACTTCAGGAATGTCTTGAATGTATTTTAGCTTTGAATTTACATAAAATTTGTGAAATGAAGAATTGAGTAAATATAAGCTGGGTACCAGTGGCTTATACCTGTAATCCTAGCTACTTGTGAGGCTGAGATCAGGAAGATTGATGTTCTAGGTCAGCCCTGGCAAATAGTTCATGAGACCCCATCTTCAAAATAACCAGAGCAAAATGGACTGGAGAAGTGGCTCAAGTGGTAGAGTACCTGCCTTGCAAGTATAAAGCTCTGAGTTCAAAACCTGGTCTCACCAAAAAAAGTCAGGATTAAAAAAAAAAGAATTGAGTAAATAAAATCTCTATTTCAAGTTTATCTTGCAAATTATTTTGGATTTGGTGCCCTTAATCTCCCTGCCTTTCAGATGGGCAAAATAATAGGTGTAGTGAGTGGTTTTTGGACCTAGGATTGACAGGTGATGGAGGGGCATATGATGAAGATACAAGCAAGCATTTGCCTCACGTGGGTACTTCATGAGGGAGATATGTCTTTTGCTGTCTTCCAGTAAACTGAACTTCCTTGTAGGTTGCTCAATTGCAATTAAATATCCGTGTTTGTGATGACTTATTCCGTGCCTGTCTAGCCATGTGTGTCTTAAGGACAGAACTTTTATCTGTCTCCTTCACCTCTGTACTCCCACCCCCTCTTACAGTGTCTTGCACATATTAACTATTTAATAAATATTTGTTGACTGAATAAATAAATACACGTGGGAAGGAAAATTTACCTACTGGATTTAAGACTAAACCCAGGGGGTTAGTGTAGAGGGCTTTGAGTAGACTCCTTGGGTTCAGCAATTGACACTCCCACTTTGAGCTATAGGATTTTGGGCAACTTATTTCTCCTGTCCGTACCTTTGATTTCTCGGGTATAAAATGGGATTGTAATTCCTATCTTAAAGAGTTGTGGGAATTAAATGAGGTAACCTGAGTGAAGCTCTTTATACAGCGCTGCCTGTAAATACTGCCAGTAAATACTGCTTCCTCTTATTACTTAATTACTCATTTAGCTAACGGGAGATATTTGAGGCTGTTTGTTTCCCCTTCCTTGTAGCTTTTGGATTGTTTTGGGATTCCTGTGCTAATGGCTCTCTCGTGGTTTATTCTTCGTGCAAGATACAGAGTGGTCCACTTCATTGCTGTGTTTGTCTGCCTGCTGGGAGTAGGAACCATGGTTGGTGCAGACATAGTAGCAGGGAGAGAAGATAATTCAGGTAAGTGTGTTGCTCACCACAGAAGAGTTTTGCTCACGTTTTCACTTTTAGTCTTGCAAAGATACGGCAAAAGGTAGAGGTTAGGTGTTGAGGGGAAGTGATCTGTCTCTAGTGGTGGGGTCATGCTCTTCCTCAGCGAGGTGGTGTCTTGTCACCCCCACAGTAACCTGTATTTCTTTGTAGCACTTGCTCAAGTGCCCTGAAATATCTGGCCTTTGCACTTTTTTATTCCACCTAACTACTTTTGAGTTTGATTTTCACATTAACTTATTTCTAGTGTTGTCATCATTTCCTCAAAATAATCTTTGTGTTCCTACCTGTCCATAGCCTTTGCTTTGCTCTTTTTTGTCACACTAAATAATTTTGTTTTACTTTCTTTCCAATTTAAAAACATGGTCTTGCTATGCAGCCCTGATTGGTCTCAAATTCACAATCCTCCTGCCTCTGCCTTTCCGGTGCTGGGATTATAGACCTGTGACACCACACCTGGCAGATTTTTGTTTTTATCAAAAAGAAGACTTGGTGTTCACTGGTAACTTCTTCTACGTCATTCTGTAGGTAAATATTTTGGTACACTGTGTCAAATTCTGACAATTGATAGTGTAAAATCTAAGTGAGGGCCAGGTGCTGGTGGCTTACATCTGTAATCCTAGATACTTGAGTGACTGAGATTGGGAGGATTGCAGTTTGAGGACAACCTGGGCAAACAGTTTGTGTGACCCCATCTCCAAAATAACCAGAGCAAAATGGACGGGAGGTGTGGCTCAAACAATAGAGTGCCTGCTTTGCAAGCACGGAGCCCTGAGTTCAAACCCCAGGTCCATCAAAAACCAACAACCAACCAACCAACCAAACAAACAAATAAAAAAACACTAAATAAGGTCTGAATTTACCCGGTTTACAAGTGACTTCAGTGTCTCCTTGGATCAAGAGAAAATTGCTTACTTATTAGTCATGCTTTCTTGTATTTCTCAATAAATTCCATGAATTTGTCATGTCATGGACCCATTTTCATTATGGTATATACCACCATCTTCCAGTCTCTTGAGGAGTCGAAATATGAAAAGTCACATCAGAATTCTGCCACACGGTGAGAAGCATAAGAGTTTAAGCTTCTAGGAACCGGGGTTAAATAAAATCTTATTCAAATGAACAGGAGTCAGATAAACTCCTGGTTCACCTGTGGACGACGTATTCATCTTTGTGTCTTGTTCCCCGTAGGGAGCGATGTACTGATTGGTGACGTCTTGGTTCTGCTTGGGGCTTCCCTCTATGCTGTTTCTAACGTGTGTGAAGAATACATCGTGAAGAAGCTGAGCAGACAGGAATTTTTAGGAATGGTGGGCTTATTTGGAACAGTTATCAGTGGCATACAGCTGTAAGATTCTAAGATTTTTCTCTAAAACAAAAGGAGCAAATATAATCACAGAAATTACTCTCTAACTACTAATATTCATTGTTTAGCCCAAATTCACATTTGAAATTGGTAACTTGAGGCTTGTTAATACATCAAGAATTCTGCCTTATTTTCTTATACATGTACAATGTTTAGGATTCCTGGATACAAGGCAGCAAAAGTATGAGCAGTTGACTTTCCTTCAGTTATTTCCAGAAAATATTAACTCATTGACTTCCTGAGCTTATTCAAGGGAAAACATTAGTCATATTGTCCTTCTGTAGCTGAGTGATGTTGAAGCGTACTTCTTCCTCTCCTACTCCCCACCCCCAGACAGGGTTTTGCTGTATGGCCCAGCCTGTCCCAGAACTTGCAATCTTCCTGCCTCAGCCTTCCGAGTGCTGGGATTACAGGCATGCACCACCATATTCAGTTTACTGCTTTGGTTTTATCCTTTTTTTTTTCCTTTTTCATAAATTTAAATTGTCATATATAAGGTTTTTACATACAGTGTACATTGTAAAAATTCATATCAAAAAGTCAATCAATGACTGATGGAGTGGCTCAAGTGCAAGGCCCTGTGTTCAACCCCCTAGTACAGAAAAAAAAAAAAAAGTCCATCACGTTTATCTAAAGGTTTAATTTTTTTTAATCATTTTTAGTAGATAGTTATTTTTATATTCTAAGAAAAATTCAAAAGTCAACACAATTCCTATCATAGCTGAAGTATAGCAACTTAAGTGCTTATAAAACAGCAAAATTAGCATGTGACCCTCTTGGTGACCTCTTGTTTTTCTCTTAGATTGATTGTGGAATATGAAGATATTGCCAGCATTCACTGGGACTGGAGAGTTGGTATGTAGTTAAATGCCTATTTTTTATGGTCAGTATTGTGTCCTTTTACTGCTCACCAAGAAATAAATTCTTCCTGTTAATAATATTTGTACGTCTTTGTAAAGTCATGTCAGTGATAGTGGTTTACATTGACTTTTTTCTGAGAATTGCTAGAGGAACCTCCATAAAAGTTAATTCTTAATCCTGACCTGAGGGAATAGCTTTTCTTTACTAGGAATTCTGATCAGTGTGACCTTTGTCACACTGGCTTTCAATTAGAGCTGTGTCTCAGATTTGTGAAGGTTGTCGTCTGCCTGCTGTAACTTGTGGGGTTAACCTGAAGCATCTGTTGGTGGTGTGATCACCTGCACTGTCCTGCTACTGTCCCTCTCCTGATGTTCCTCACCTCCCACTGCCCCTCTCCTCTGATATTTCTGGGCATCTGCAGAAAAAAATAAAGCAAAAACGATGTTAGGGAAGTTAGGAAAGATTCAAGCTGTACTTAATGATGATTGGAAAGAAGTTCAATGCTGCATAAATGTCACCGAAGGTAGTGTACCATGCTTGGATAATTTTATTTCATTAAATTACTTTGATTGCCAGAGTGTGTAAGAATGTGTGTGTGTGTGTGTGTGTGTGTGTGTGTGGTGAGCATGGAATGAGTATGAATTCATAGCAAGGCAGGCATATTGCTGATGTAGTCAGTGTCCATATCACTGGCACTGTCCTAAAGAGGACGGTTACATAGTGCAGTCTTGAAACATTTGATTTAATGAGATGAACAAAATATAATGGATCTAATATCTGCCTTTGATGTTCTAAAAATACTTTATTCTGAATCCAGTTGCATAAACCATATCCAACCAACCAACCAAATAAAAGCAAACAAAAGATAATGAGTGGTTTTTCTGGACATGTGATATTGATTTTGCTTTTATTGACCTTTTATTATGGGCATCACTCTGCCTTGGGAGGGTGGATTACATGGGGTGATAAGAGCTGTTGACTTAGTCCCACCTTAAGTAAGATTTTACAGCTTTGACCAGCTAACACTCTATTGGATCTTCACAACTTGTGATTTTATTATGATTATTTTCGATGAAGCTCTGTGGTCTTATTTGCAAAGCTAGCTGTACAGGAGAGGGAGTTTTATATAGTAGCCAAGCCAAAGCTCCTTTGTCTTCTGGTTTCTTCTCGTAATATTAGATATACCATTTTTTCCCACAGCTCTGCTCTTTGTGGCCTTTGCCCTCTGTATGTTTTGTCTGTACAGCTTCATGCCATTGGTGATTAAAGTCACCAGTGCCACTTCAGTCAACCTGGGCATCCTGACAGCTGACCTCTACAGCCTTTTCTTTGGACTCTTTCTGTTTGGCTATAAGGTAAGAAAACAGATTGGGTTCAACTAAGACAACTTCCTCAATCTAAAGAAGTTTCTTTCAGCAGTTTTCTTTAAGACTCTAGGTCCAAAAATAAAACCCCATCCTCTTGGAAAGGCATCACTCCTTTTGTTACTGTTTCCAAGTTAGAAAATTGGTCCAAATAAGAATTGCCCTTCTGGAATTTTTTCTCCAGTGGCTTTCATCTTTTGTGATATGGCTAAGGACACTGGCTTTGGGAAATGCTTATGTATGTTGGCAAGTGTCAAGCAAGGAGCTTGTCATTGCCAGGAGCTGTTGTTGACTTGGTAAAACAACCCAACTTAGCCTGGGTGCACTGAGCTTTTCTCTTCACTCTCTCTTTTTTTTTTCTTTTTTTGGCGGGATTGGGGTTTGGACTTAGGGCTTCATGCTTGCAAAGCAGGCACTTTACCATTTGAGCCTTACCTCCAGTCCATTTTGTTCTGGTTATTTTGGAGGTAGGGTCTCATGAACTATTTGCCCAGGCTGCAGTCCAACCACGATCCTCCCAATCTCAGCCTTCCAAGTAGGTAGGAAGCTATGAGTGCCTGTCTCTGTTTGTTCTTTTTGCCCAGGGACACAGACAAAAAGTTTGGAGCACTTGGTGGAAAGGAAGGAGGGTGGGTATATTACCATGCATGTATGATTGGAAAGGTTCCATCTTTGATAGCAGTTTTTATATCTGGAAGGAACCTGAAAGGCAATTTAGTCTGGTGGTTTTTCAGGCTTTTCTGTCTCCAGCACATCGCAGCACCCCAGTGCAGCCTGTTCCTGTTGAACAGTGTAACAGTTCCTGTTCCCAGGAGTTGGAGTGGGGCAAAATGTGTCAGTTTTCAAGGGAAGGACAAGAATGGATTGTGCTTTGAAAGTAACATGCTCAGGGTCTGAAACACTTCCCCTTGCAAATCCCTAATTGAACTGTCTCATTTTAGAGTTGGGGAGACGAAGACCCAGGCAGGTTATGTGCAGTTCCATGGTTTACCCTTAGTCAGCAGCTGTTTAGCGCTAAAGTCAAGACCAAATCTTAGTTATCACCTCTTTGCTGTTGTATCGGTTCTGTCTTTTCACCACTGTACATCCTCCTCCTTCATCCTCAACATTAAGATGAGAATCAGGCCTGGCAGAGTGGCTCAAGTGGTAGATCTCCTGCCTAGCAAGCACAAAGCCCTGAGTTCAAGCCCCAGTACTGAAAAAGAAATACATACATAAACAAATAAAAGAAAAGAATAAAAACAAAATGAGAACCTCTGGCTCACGTTACCCAGTAAGTAGGTATGTTTTGATGTTACAGTCAATTTTAAAACTCCTAGGCAGCAGTTCTCATATTTTCTGATCCTTTTATTTTTAATTTTAATTTACTTTAAATATTTATTTTATTTTATGTTTGTGACAAGGTCTCTTGCTGTGTGGCCCAGGCTGATCTTGAAGTTGAGATCCTCCTGCCTCAGCCTCCCAAGTAACTGGAATTACAGATAGGTGCTATTGAGCCCAGCTCAGGGTCCATTTAAATTTTCTTATTTATTTGGCAGTACTGGGGTTTGAACTCAGGGCCTCATGTTTGCTAGGTAGGCACTTTATCACTTCACCAGCCCAGGATCCTTTTAAATGCTCAAAAATTGAGGACTTCAGTCACTTACACCTATTACTTACCACATGAGAAATTAAAACAGACATTTTAAAATATTCATTTGTTAATTCATGAAGAATCTAATAAACTCATTAACATTTTTAGGGAAAATTATATTAGCCAAAAATCTTTAAAAGTGTGAGAGTGAAATTGAGAGTCTCTTTCATGTTTGGCTTAAGGGAAAACAGCTGAATCTCATATTTGCTTCTTCCTTCTGCCTGGTAATTGCTTGCCATGAAGCTTGTGGAATATTCCACGGTATGCTCTTAAGACAATGAATGTGAAAAAGTCAAATAGCATCTTAGTGTTACATGAAATAGTTTGCTACTGA